AGTACTTACGTTTCCGTATTCAAGATTATGTCAATGCTCCCTGTCTCCGCATTGAAGTTATGGGATGCACTCGCCTTGAGTGTGCTGATATTAATGAGTGTGCTGTTGACAATGGTGGATGTGACCAAAAATGTATTAACAGGTAATATTTTTTCCATTTTTCTACCCTTGCTTCAACATTTGCTGGTTTAATTAAACTACTTAATTTCAATTTTCCTTTTTTAAAATAAAAATTTTAATTCCCTAGCCCTGGCAGTTTCTCGTGTGTCTGTAATGTGGGCTATGAGCTCTTCACCCGAAAGGGAACTGCTGGATTTGCTGTTCACTCTGCTGAATCTGGCGAACGAGATGGAGACACCTACCAGCGCAACAAGACTTGTTTTCCCATCATGTGCCCATCCCTTGAAGCACCTGAGAATGGTGTAATCCTTTCTACTAAAGTGAGTGATAAAATAACCTTTTCTGAATTGGAAATAGTTTACTGTCTATACATTGTTTGAAATAAAAATAACCTTTTGTTTTCTGTATTCCAGGAAATGTACCACTTTGGAGACCTTGTGAGCTTCCAATGTAACTTTGGCTATGTCATGAGTGGCCCTGCTTCTTTGCTGTGTACATCTGGAGGAGTTTGGAATGGCTCTGTTCCACAGTGTCAATGTGAGCTTCCTTCTTTGTATAAGTTGGTCCTTTGACGTAATACTCTTGATGAAAAGTCCTCATTCAATTTACATTTTTTCTGCAGATGCCAAGTGTGTTTCTCTACCTGATGACAGAAATGAGGGATTATCTGTACTGCGAACAGACCAGGGCAGTGTCCTTGTACCTTTCAAAGAAAATGTGACACTCAACTGTGGTAGTGTAGGCCGAACTCTGCGACGCACTGCCTCATCAGGATTCCGTCAATGTGTTTATGACCCTAAACCTGTATGTAGTATGTATGGTTGTTCAGGATTTTCATTTTTTCTCTGCCCTGTTTCAAACTATTTACTCATTTGATTTGATAATAGGGCTTCCCTGATTACTGGCTGTCTGGTGTTCCTCCATCCTGCCCAAGAATGGATTGTGGCACACCTCTGCCCACACCGGGAGCTGAATATGGCAAATACACGGATACCAAATACCAATCATCATTCTTCTTTGGATGTCAAGATACATTCAAGCTAGCTGGTCAAACAAGCAAAAATGACAATGTTGTCAGGTAAAAATAATTACATTTACAATTTATTTGGCATAATTATTATTGTGTTCTGTCTGAGTTCACCTTCTCAAATTTTCTGGCTCTTTTTTTAGGTGTCAAGCTAATGGCGTGTGGGACTTTGGTGACCTAAAATGTGAAGGTCCAGTGTGTGAGGACCCCGGCAGGCCAACAGACGGCTTCCAGGTTTCTCGCAGCTATGAGCAGGGCTCTGAGGTTGAGTTTGGCTGCAACAAGCCCGACTACATCCTCATCAACCAGCGTCCTATCAGCTGTGTTCGAGAGCCTGAGTGCAAAGTTGTCAAGCCTCTTGGCCTTGCCTCCGGACGCATTCCTGACTCGGCAATAAATGCTACCTCAGAAAGGCCCAACTATGAAGCACGTAACATTCGCCTGAACTCTGTTACTGGGTGGTGTGGAAAGCAGGAAGCATTCACATATGTCAGTGTGGATCTTGGTCAAGTTTTCCGTGTCAAGGTAGCATACTTTAAAATTTCCTCAAGTTAATTTATTATAAGTTACATGTGATAGAGCTGTATAATATTCTTTTGATGTATCTGTTCTTAGGCCATTCTTGTCAAGGGAGTAGTCACCAATGACGTTGTTGGTCGACCTACAGAAATTTGTTTCTTCTATAAACAAGCTGAAAATGAGAACTATGTTGTGTATTTCCCTTACTTTAACTTGACTATGAGAGACCCTGGAAATTATGGTGAATTAGCAATGATTACTTTACCCAAATATGTTCAAGCTCGTTTTGTAATTTTGGGAATTGTGAGCTACATGGACAATGCTTGTCTCAAGTTTGAACTGATGGGTTGTGAAGAACCAAAATCTGAGCCTTTGTTGGGTTATGACTACGGATACTCTCCTTGTGTTGGTCAGTATTTGTAATTTTGTTAAAAAATTTTAACTGATATATATTTAGCAAACTACATTGTTCATAATATTTTTTTTTCTAGACAATTATGAACCACCTGTCTTCCAAAACTGCCCACAACAGCCGATTGTTGTGCAAAAGGGACCTAATGGAGGTTTGCTACCAGTAAACTTTACTGAACCTGTAGCGGTTGACAACAGTGGAAGCATTGCACGTCTTGAGGTCAAGCCACCTAGCTTCAAGACCCCAACCCCAATCACCGTCTTTGAGGACGTGTCAATTAAATATATTGCCTTTGATTATGATGGAAATGCTGCTATTTGTGAGATCAACATTACTGTGCCAGGTACATTATATCATCAGTTTAGTACAGTATATTCAATCAAAGTGTAGTATACCATCAACCCTTGCCTCATGATTTTTTTCCCCCTTCTTTGCAGATGACACACCACCTCGTCTCAGCTGTCCTCAGAGCTACGTCCTTGAGCTGGTGGATCGCCAGGACAGCTATGTGGTCAACTTCAATGAGACTCGCCGCCGCGTTAACGTGTCCGATGAGTCAGGCGATGTCAAAGTGGTTTTCGTACCCGATCGTGCTGTGATTCCCATCGGTGGATTTGAGAATGTGACTGTGGTGGCTTCAGATAAGAGTGGAAATCAGGCTTCGTGCCACTTCCAAGTGTCTGTCCAGGCCACTCCATGTGTGGACTGGGAACTTCAACCACCTACCAATGGAGCACTCAACTGTTTACCTGGAGAAAGAGGCTTGCAGTGTATTGCAACCTGCAAACCTGGCTTTAGGTGAGATATTGTCTTTTTCAGGCCACCTCCTACTTCTAAAATTATACTACTTTAATTTTTGCTAATTTGAATGAAACAAAAATTACTATGTAATTGTTTTGCAGATTTACTGATGGTGAGCCTGTCAAAACATTCAGCTGTGAAGAGAAGAGTCCATGGGTGCCAAACAACATGGTACCTGACTGCGTGTCTGAAGGTTAGTCACAGGGCTCTACTTGATTGACTTGATGTTTGTTTATGAAATTTGTCTGTTCCCTGTTCCTGAAAGAATTTTTGTGGTTAATTGTAAAATGACTTCCTTGCAGACACTCAACAAGCCGATTATCATGTAGTAGCCACTGTCACATACCGGGCTAATGGAGCTGTTTCACAATCATGCCTGCCCCAGTATTCAGACCTCATGTCACAGTATTACAAATCCCTTAATGACATCCTTACTCAGAGATGTTCAGCTGTAAACGTGAACATGAATGTTTCATTTGTTGAAGCAAAACCATCCTTGGTGCAAGAAAACTTTGTCCAGGTCATTATTTAATAGATTTGTGTGTTCTGCTTATGTGCTAATTTAAATTTCTGATCAATTTACTTCATTCTAATATTTATATTCTTTTATTTACAGATGGACTTTATTCTGGTGATTGTACCAGCTGTCAAACAGCCACAGCTTTATGACCTCTGTGGTTCTACTCTCAATTTGATTTTCGACCTGTCCGTTCCTTATGCCAGTGCTGTCTTGGAACCTCTGTTGAATGTGTCAGCAATAGGCAATCAGTGTCCTCCACTTCGTGCTTCGAAATCTTCCATCAACCGCGGATTCACTTGTAATGTTGGAGAGGTCCTTAATATGGATACCAATGATGTTCCTCACTGTTGTAAGTGCCTATAATGCCAATGTTGAAGCAATACAAATTAAAGATTTACCTAGGTTCAGTTGATAATTTTTCTTTTCCAATTCTTTTTTAGTGCACTGTCCTGCTGGAACCTTTGCGGGTGTGAATCAAAAGACCTGCACACCTTGCCCACGAGGGTTCTTCCAAAATCAAGATCGTCAAGGACAATGCACCAGGTGTCCTCTTGGAACATACACTCGAGAAGAAGGTCGGTATTAGTTGATTTTCATTGTTTCTAACAACAACTTTGATGTCTGGTATTAACAAACTTATGGTTTGTTGCAGGTTCAAAGGATATTAACGAGTGTGTTCCTGTTTGTGGTTACGGAACTTTTTCTCCCACTGGTCTTGTGCCTTGCTTGGAATGTCCTCGCAACAGCTACACCTCAGAGCCACCTACAGGTGGTTTCAAAGCTAATTATACTCCTTTAAAAAAAAATAATCACTGGAACTATCAGTACTTCATATCTTTCAGCCATCTCAAAAATGCCCCCTTTTATTAATTGTTTGTCTTGTCTTCTTCAGCCAAATGCTCCCCAGGGCAGTACTCTGACACTGGTTTAGCTCCTTGTGCTCCATGCCCAAGAGATTTCTACCAGACGCTTTCTGGCCAGCTGACCTGTCTGGAGTGCCCCACCAACATGAAGACTGCAGGTCCTGGAGCAGTCGGCAGGGACGAATGTGAACCTATCCAGTGCTCTGAGAACGCTTGTCAGCATGGTGGATTGTGCATACCGATGGGCCATGGAGTTCAGTGCTACTGTCCAGCTGGTTTCTCTGGACGCCGTTGTGAGATTGACATTGATGAGTGTGCTTCTCAACCGTGCCACAACAGTGGACGTTGCATTGATCTGCCACAAGGATACCGTTGCCAGTGTCCCCCAGGTAATGACGTTTTCTTACCTATATGTATGGATTTGTAGTTAAAATATTTGGAAAGAGTCTCATCAAATGCTGCTTTATTTTACAAAACAGGATACAGTGGCATCAACTGTCAAGAAGAGAAATCTGATTGCCGCAACGATACTTGTCCAGAGAGGGCTATGTGCAAGGATGAACCAGGCCTCAACAACTTCACCTGCTTGTGCAGATCTGGTTACACTGGTCCCAACTGAAGTAGCAGTAAAATTGTCATTGGTTTGATTTTTGAAAATTGCTTTGTTCTATCTTTAACTGGTGTTTATCTGTTTATTTTAGATCAACCCCTGTTCTGCTGACATCAATGCTTGTTCCAATGG